GCCGACCCTCAGTTTCATCTGGAGTATCGGGGCCCGGTCACCATGAAAGGAAAGAAGGAGCCAATGAAGGTGTGGTTTCTTTCCAGGAAGCCCACAGACGCTTAAGGCTCATCGAAGGATTGCATTAATGCGGTCATGTCCTGTCACATTTTGACACAGGGATGGGTTGGATCAGGTGACACATATGCAGATATTTTTATTATGATGAAACACATTTGTCTATCCGAACACCCGCCTCTCTCTACGTACCCATGGTCTGCCATTACATTTTATAGCTGTGTAGCGTTTCATCGAGAGGTCCGTGATACAGTATTTGGTGCAGTCAAGTTTGATACGTTTGATACATACAAAGTGGTGTATTAGACTACACACTAAAGGTTTTAATAAACAAAACTATTTCCATTTATTGATTATTTTTATTTTAGTTTCCATTTTTGTCTGCCGTGTTAGTGTAGTGTGAAGCGTGCCAAAAAAAGACAATTTATAGCCAAATTAAGTAATTTCAGAGTATACTTTATTTTATCATCATCATATTAAATTTTACAGGTACAGAATATATTAAATGTAAGTAAAAATTGGACTAATTAGTTTAATGAAAATGACTGTAGAGCTTATTGTCCTTGTTCACCAAATGTGAGAATTTATAGTTTTACACTGAATATATTACACTGGCTGCAAGATTATTATAACAAATGAGAATTTAGATTTAGACTAGATATTATTATATGTATAATACTGATGTCAAATCTGTATCATAAAAACTACTGTGCCAACTACATTCATATACAGTTTTACATTACACAGACTTACTTGTATTTTTAAAAGCCACAAATCATAAAGCATTTGAGCCATTAGTTCTTCACATTTACCCATTACTTAATTATTAAAATACCCTTAGTATTAAAAGCACTTAACACTATTTTATATATTTATGTTACCTCTGTACACATTGCACAATCACCTCATGTCTGCTTAAATGATATTGAATGCTATTTTCAGTTCTACTGTATGTTACTGAGATAAAGCTACATATTTATTGTGTCATGTTACTTTGTATTTATTCCTTTTTTGAGAAAAGAACTGTTATTACTTTTAGAAATGAAAAAAGAAAACGTATGGTAAATTTTGCTATGTATGACACTACTTTGTGCCTCCATCACATGTTGGATTAATCTCACTTGAGTATATGTACTGTACGATTTTTCAACATATTTTCCAAATTCACTATTAATAAACTAAACACAGTGTCCTCCGAGGTTTAATGTGTGACAACACACAGGTGCCTCTTGTGTTATAAGAGTGCATTTCTGTGCTTGTAGGACATCTTGTTTTATCTGGTGTTTATTTTGGAGGTAACTAATAAATAATGTGGACAAGTGTGGATTACTTGATATAGATATTTTATTTTGTACTGCATATATTTATTTTTTTTTATAATCCGTCAGGAAATTCAGACTGAATCATGTAGCTGTTTAAGTATTTTATGGTCTTTATTTTTGACCAACGGCAGAAGTATGGCACACACACACGTATGTTTTTTTGAGATGCACTCCCTCTAGTGGTGTTTCAGAAGATTGCAGCCCTTTTCTGTGGTAATGGCCACATACAGTACTGTGCAAAAGTCTTGAGCCACCCCTTTTCTTTAAAATATTTTGCTTTTTGAAGGTCTTTCAACTTTTTAGATGGCTGCTTTTCACTCATTTTCAGTCCAGTCCTTGTACCTGAACATTTTCAGAGGAATACTTTTTTTTGGATTTGTCAACGCTGAGCTATGAATCATTCAAGCATAAAAAAGGCACCTAACTCAAGCGACGAACCACTGTAGTGTTCACTCATAACAGACATCTTAGCAAAGAATTAATTTTAAATTGCAACTTTAGGGATTTTATTACAAGCAGCCTTTTACAGCCAGTGTGGTAACACACTGCCATTGTAGTAAAAGCATACATGGATAGAAAAACGCACAATAGGACATTATTAGTCACGGATTAGCCTCTCCATAGTCTGGATCTCAACATTACTGAAGCAGTGAGGGATCATCTCGACAAAGAACAAAATAAAGTTGACTTTCATTCACGTTAGAAGTGTACAAACTCAGTTTTTGCCTTATATACTGCATTTCCATGTATGTTTTCATGTTTCAATAAGTCACTGCAATCACTGTTTCCCATTTTCCTATACTATAAAGGAATGGCTCAAGACATTTACACATTACTCTACCTTCAAAATCAGGTAAATTGTTTTATGTGTCTCTTGTCCTGCTTATCCATTCAGAATAAACTTTCTATTGCAGTACGATAATAAAAAAAATTGGTCAAGCCAATTTTCTTTAAATAACCAAATGTGAATTTTGCTTAAAATTAGATTCTTACCTTCATATGTAAGAGGCTGATGGGGTCTTGGATGGGCAGGCAGAGAATGTGGACACCCAAGTTTGTGAATGTGATAACTCGAAAATGAAGCAATGTAGGTGTTTCAAATTGATACCACATGTATCCACTAAAAATCTCAGATGAATTCAAATCTCAATCAACTTCAAAGTCGGAGGTTAAGTTTTCTGGAAATCTTGTAAATGCAATAACTTGACATAATGTAGGATTTTGAAATTGATACCATAGGTATCAGTAGGCATCCTGTGCACCCAACCTCTCATCCTAAGGTAGCTGGGATAGACTCCAGCTACCTTAGCAACCCTGATAAGGATAAGTGGAAGAGAATGGATGGACAAATGGATGAGCTGTACCACTGGCCAAGGCAAGTATCTTTCAAATTACAGGTATTGTCCTTAAATCTAATTTAGAATGTGGCACCTTGTTCTCCTAGAAAATTTTAGAGACTGAAAAACAAAATAACTACTCAAAGACACATTTACCATGTTGCTTCTATGGTTGTTTTCAAGCAATGCAACAGAAGCTAATACTAGCAGCTAATGGTAAAGTCAGGGAGGGAGTAAACCTGTAGCAAAAAAGTCTGTGTAGGTTCTCAGTCATCCAGGCCATTCCAGTCTAAGGAGACTGAAAATGTGGCAGCTGAACTTGTTTAATTTTTATTTTCAAGATGTTTTACCTCTCATCCAAGAGGTTTCTTTAGTAGCTCTTCTTTAGCTCTGTAGCTAAAGAGCCAGTTGTGTTTAATTAGATACCAGATATTGGAAAAAGGTAAACTGGATTTTCATTTCACTTTCCTGAGGTAATATAGCATTTAAATGTTTCACCCAGTGACCACAGATGTAGTAAATAGTTATAACAACTCCTTCATCAAATGGAGCACTAAGGAACTTAAACAGAGGTATCATCCGTATCAGTTCTACTATAGATTGTGATCAGCGTTAAGGGGTCTGGCCTTGACAACAGTCTGGTCAGTGAGCCACTCTGGAGAATTAATAAGCTGTTGAGAGTCTTGCTCAAGTCTCTTTCACTGTTATTAAAGAGTGAGGGACAAGTGCTCTTATCTTCCATTCCCAAATTTATCTTGCTAGGTCAAGGTCCAGCATGGAATTATCATGAGCTTGCTTGTAAACTTCTGGTAGCACAACAAATGTTAAGCAGTTAGGTCCATAAAGTTTTCGAGTAATGACCCAATGCTGAGAATTTTGCCTTCGTACACCAAAACAGTGGATTTTAAATCAAACAAGACCCTCAGTTTTAATTCCAAGGGTTTAGCATGAATTGTTTAGGAACACATAACTAATTTTTAAAAGCTCAAAGTTAATTGAACAAACAAACATCAAGATTTAAAGTTCAAGATTGTTTTTCATATTTGGATTAAAATCCTTTACAGTCAATGCCTGCCTGAAGTCCGGACCATATGGACATCACCAAATGCTATGCTTACCGTCTTGAGATGCTCTGCCATGCATTTACTGCAGCCCCATTCAGTTACACCCTATTGTAAATCCTCGGTACTTACTTACATTAATGAAACCGTCTTATGATTGTTGACTTTGACAAATGCATGCGAATTTCCTAGAGGTTTTTCTGGGTTAGATATTGTAAATTTCACTTTAGTCCTCCTCCATGGTCTTCCAGGCCATTTGAGCTTGTTGCAAGTGCATTTCTCCTATTTTTTAAAAAATATATATTTCTGATATATTTATTTAGGTTTTAAGCCTAGTGATGGCCTTCTTCACCTACATTTCTTTGAACCTCATATCAATTCTGCCAGTGCAACAATAACTAAAATAAAAACTTCTTGGCAATCAATTATCCAATTATATTACATATTGATTGCCTGATTTAAAAGTCACTGTGGTAAAATACGCAGACAAAATTACAAAAAATGTGTCACTGTCCAAAAACCTATGCACCTGACTGTACTTGAATGGATTTGAAAAAGACGGAAATTTGTTATCAGCATTTGTTTAGTATTTACTAAAATGGAGTTCACTGAATCACTAATTCAACCCTTTCAGTCTATGGTCTCATTTGTCACGTGCTTTTATGACTTATACTACAAACTGGACAAACCTCAAAGGATATAATTATGTTACAAAGAGTTTCCACCAGACTTGATCAACTATGGCTCCAACTCACCTGTGAATTTCATCACTGCGGTCTTGGTAGAAAGGTCTTTTGTCTGATAAGATGCAGTATTACTGAGGTGGAAGTGAAGGTCAGGCAAAGGTCTCTTTGACACATAGAATGACAAGAAACTGTGATGAAAGAGAAGACATGCTCTACATGTTTTATTCGTCCCATTCATCCCATTTTCTTTCTGTTAAACTTAAATATTTCAATTTTAATAGTGCAGTTAGTTGTGGGTTAGTTAATAGTTTCGCAATGTTTTTGATGCCCTTTAGATTAAATTAAATTAAATTAAATTAACTTTCCGTGGTAATTTAATTATATAAAATTACTAGATGGTGGTAGACATAGTAGTGGTAGACAAGCAGAAAAAGACAGCTGTAGTGATAGATGTAGCGATACCAAAATGGTTTAAGGATGGTTTAATGACTCAAAAAAAATCTTTTTTTCTTTTGTTTTGTATAACATTAACTTTAGATGTCAAAGGTCTTGTTTATTAGCAATGGGCAATAAAGGACAAAGGTATCACATATAATCAAGTATAGTGGAAGAGAGAAATTACAACTACTACACCGATGCAGTATCTTGGATGAATGATAAGATTAAACCTGCATTAGCTACATACAGATTTGGAGGAGTGCACATGTGCAATGGATCTGTAATAATAGTGGCAGGAACCGTTTTAAAGTAAAATAAATTTCAAATATATTCCTCTTGTATCAAATAGTGCAGACTTAAATGCTGCAGTTCTGCACTGAATATGGTTAGTGGTTAAGCTGTGACCAAGACTTTTGGCAAACAGATTCAGGATGAAGTGGCCATTAAACATTCAATAGAGCACTTTGAGTGCTCTAGTAGAGTAGAGAAGCACTCTATAAGCTTGAGTCCATTTACCATTTAACTATTCATTGTCACACAGTTAGGATATTACCTTGGAAAAAAAAAAACATGAGCTTTAAACGGCCACATCAGCAATCAGATAGATGATGAGATAAGAGGGTGTTTGATTTAAAAGGAGCGGCAGAGTTTGAAAAGGGCACTCCTTGTTGCAGAGTCCTCCAGCTCACCCTCAGCGCCACCATGACTTTCAACGGCACCTGGAAAGTTACTCAAAATGACAACTATGACAAATTCATGGAAAAAATGGGTGAGTGCTAGAGCTGCTTCTGAATCTTCATTTTTTCTTAAATAAAGAATACTGATGTATTAATGTCTAAATATAATCTTTGCACCAAACTGATAGTCATGCACATTTTTTTGTGACTGCATTATAAGTGATTAGCCTTTAGACGGGTAAAACTTCCTGACATTGCTCAATCTATTGTGACCTTATTGTGTCTATCCACAGGAGTTAACATGGTGAAGAGGAAGCTGGCTGCTCACGACAACCTCAAGATTACCATCGCACAGGAGGGAGACAAGTTTAACGTCAAGGAGAGCAGCACTTTCCGCAACATCGAAATTGAATTTACCCTCGGAGTCACCTTTGAGTACGCCCTTGCAGATGGAACAGAACTATCAGTAAGTTAAAGTGGCTCCTAGTTTCACTCACTTTAGACTTTCAACTTTTGAGTCCCTGTTACTAAGTCAACAATCCATACATCAAGCCTTGACTTTGCCCTCTGTTCAATACCGCAACTATAAAAGTGTCAAACAGCCTAGTCAGCCTTTGGACTTCTGCACAATATTCCCTCCTTGCCTGTTCTCTATTTCATTAATTTCCTCATCGTTGGTTTCAACTCTCAGGGTGCGTGGACCTTGGAGGGAGACGTGTTGAAGGGAATTTTCAAGAGAAAGGACAACGGAAAAGACCTGACGACAACCAGAATTGTTCAAGGAGATGAACTCATACAGGCAAGGCAGAGTTCCTACAAACGTATAAAAATAGAGATTATACATTCAGAAATATAAATTTTCATCCCGGCATAAAAAAATGTGAAGTTAAATAACAACTGTATTTGATTAATCTTTCTTCAACAGAGCTACACCTACGAAGGTGTGGATGCAAAGAGGATTTTCAAGAGGAGTTAGACCAAATCCATTTAAAGAACCGAATTGAAATATTTTCAGGGTTACATACAGTTTTGTGCCAAGTCATCAACAACATGTAACTCATCATATTTTAATAGCTGTATTAATAAAGTCACAACTGCCTATTAATTTGTGTGCTTGTTTCCTCTGCTTTTCATCAAATAATATTCTGTGGAAGCTCATGCAAAGTTAAACGCACACACACACACAAACACACGGTCAAGTGGCTAATTTAGTAGTGATACAATAATTGAAACTTTATTCAACAATGAATAAAAATAAATATATATTATCTACAAAAATATAAAGTGTAGACAGGTTTCACATGTTTCTTTAAACTGACATGAAGCATTTACTGTAATGTCAATAAATCAACTCAGCAGACCAAATGCACAGGACCAAAACCAAGCAGACGGCAGGATTCAGGGAGGCATCCCGAGGCTACTTATCAGGCATCGTCATCTTATAACTTCTTATAACTGATAAGATCAGTGACATGATAAGATCATGCAGAAAGCTTTCTTTTGTTTTGTGGTTTTACAGCGTAATTAGGTTGCTCCACTGTACGAGTAGCCCGAAATAAAAGAAACAGATCGATGCAATGCCAACTGTGACTTTAAGTGACACAGGAGAAAACCAGTCTCATCAAGCAGGCCTCGAGAGCAAATTCAAACTTTAACTGAAGACTACAAACTGTGAATGCAAGACATAATCGTATTTGCACAATTGGATTAAGTACTGTTAGTTTAACAGAGGGAATAGTTTTTGAACTGCTGAGTTTGCTGCCTGCAGCTGTGACTGTTACATCGAAGCCTGAAGGAGCCACTAAGAACCCCAATCCAACCTATAAATAACATTTTCACATACAGGAGTGTCAAATACGTCACCGGTAGCATTGCCTGCTCCAAATTTAATCGCAACATCGTCTATTTCCCTTCATTCATCATTTTTATTCTCTAAATGTGGTTCACCAACAAAGAACAAAACAACAACGAAAAATGAATTCACTGAAAGTGTCAAGGCACTGTTGATACAACTGAAGACACAATGTTCAGAATGTAAAATTAAACTTGTGAGGAAAAGAGAAGAGTTTTTTAAGATGAAGGGAAAAAAAAACCCCACAATCATTATGAAGAAAAAACACTTCACATGTGAATCAACGTTAAGGTAATCTGGTTATTATTCGTGGACTGAGCTTCAGTTTATCGGTAATTTAGTTATTTAGTTACTTCTTCCATTAAATATATAGGAAGTCTTAAAAATAGCAGGGATTTATAATTACTACAGCACAATCAAGTTGTTTAAAGGCAGTCTAGTGTGTATCATCGTGTACTGTATCAGTGAGCGATAGACTGGACTGCCTGTGAAGTCCAAGTCTTGTTTTTCTTATATTTAAACAGTGTAAGTAAACCATGACAAATACAAGTAGAAACACCCAAAAAAACGAAATGACCAACACAAATTTCAAATGTCTGTCGGGTCAAACATGGCATACATACACAGCTAAATGTGTTCAGTAGGAGTAAATACCTGGACAAAGGTTGATGTGATAAAAATTTAAGGTGAAAAAAAATATGTGTATATGGCATGATGGTTATAAAGAGACTTGGCAATCTAGTGAGTTGAAAAAAATATATATATATTGAGATTTGAAAAATGTGCATATAAAAAAAAGGATCTAAAAACACCAAAACCTGCTCTTAAAGTAATTATTTTTTAAAGTGAATGCATAGTATGTCTCGGACAGTTTGTTTTCCAACACATTGTTTGCATTATACATTTAGATTCAAAAATGTAAGCATAACATAATATGTATTCTAGTGTGAGCAAGAGAACATTCAAGTGTTTAAAAGGTTACAGATTGCTATTTGATGACTTTGTTTTATTACAATTGAATAAAATCAAACAGAATGTTATGTTTGCTGGAGTCAGTCCAGGATTATCATGCTCATGCTCAGGCTGTACAAACAGCTAGTATGACTCTGTAAAGGCCACATGCAGGTTTCAGAATATTAGTCTTACTATGAACAAGGATACTTGTGTGTTATGTTAAGTAGTATGGTTAATAGTTATGTCAGTTATATCAATTACATTGGCATTATTATGAAAATACCTGGAAATACAGACCTGCATTTAAATCTGCCTACTTTAAGAGGAAGACTGGGGAAAAAATGGTTTTGACATCACTGGGAATTACAAAAAAAAGGTTACAAGAATCAGCACTGAAGACAAGAAAACACAAAAAGGTTGCACGACTGTGTATGGCGGTTACTAAATAGCCTGAAGGCTGCCCTGTGACATTGCCAATAAAACCAACCAATAAAACAAGTTACACCTTTTTTTTTTTAAGGATGACATAAAATTGACCTTTACTGGGGGTGGTTTTCTCAAGTAAATGAACAATCGATCATCTTTTCCAGTACACTTTTTTTCTTTTTTTCTTTTTTTTACATCAAAAGACTGACTGGTATGGGGCAGCCCACAGTCATTCATTAACAGAATAATGTTGTAAAATAACTGATAACTGATAACACTTAGAACACCTCAGTAAATAAATAAGACTCACTGTTACAGCGTCTGTCCTCTGGTGACCTAAAGCCTCCAAAATGTGCATAAAACTCGTAAGGTGCTCAGAAATCATGAATACTTTTCCGATCTTACTCCTTTGACAGGGGTAATTAGATTAACTGCCTTTAACCTGCTATCGATGAGGCCAACCTTTGATGTTATTATGTTGTGTAGAATGACATCATAATCAGATAATGTATCTTTAGCATATCTTTTCATGATAGCATGCTCTTATTTGTGATCACACTCAATTCTTTTACCATACAGACCACAGCACATCATCTGTGATTCACCTTAATCTCTTTTGCCTTACCCTAAATATATTTGTATAGTTTAATTTCTGCAGCACTAGTGCACAAATAAAATATGTGCACTAAAATACAAATATTTTAAAACAGACATACGGTGATAAAAAAGAACGATCTAACCCTAAAAAAACTTCTCAGTGCAAACTGAAAACAGGGTTTTGTTGAAACGAAGATACACGTGAACGTTGATAATCCGTCAAGTCATACACAACAGCATTTAGAAATAGGTTTTATTTATGTGACAGGCTTGCATAAATAAGTTCGTCTCGGTTTGGAGGTGCCGTGGCTTCCTGACATATTTCCATTCTGTAAACTCTTTGGCATCCAGTTAATACTGCCCATCCATGTAAACAAAACTTACCAAGTTACACTCATAAAAAACCACGTTCATCCAGTCCTTTGGCTGTCACTGGGTTCCATTTTGCAGTGGGTTTATTGCTATTATGGCCTGTGAAGGAAAAAAAAAGAGTTTCCTTTAAAAAAAAACCTTGTTTTTACAACAGTCACGTGTCACTGACACAGCATCAAAGAAAACAATACGATATTGTCATTTTGTCCTTTCCAGTAACTTACTGGTTTTGTTTGGAGGCTTACTTGTTTCCGGTCTGGCTTTTGGCACATCTTGTGAATGTGTATCACTGTTATCTCTCCGCTCACTTGCAACCGTTGTCCGTGGCACCGTGGCAGAGAGGACAAGAGGCCTCTGGTTGTGGTACTTGAGACGGTATGTTTCCGTCATGCAGTTATCCACATTGAAGTATGTTGTCAGAGAAACCTCTTGAGCAGGCACTGCCTGTTCCATCCTGCATCCAGCTGCTCTTTCCTCGCTTTCACACGATGATGGGGTACTCCTTTCTGGGTCAGACCCTGACTTGGAGCTTGCATCTGAGAAGGTTCGGAGGCCCGACATGTCGGGCTTTCTGTGAGGACTGACGTAAGATGTAGACGAAAGACGAGGACTTGATGGAAAAGGTTCTTGGAGCATCCTGGGACGAAACACTGGGTGGCCTGTTTCCCCTTGGTGAGGAGTCCGTTGGCTGGGTCGAAGGTGAGGCAACCCTGTTGTACCAAGCTGACGCTGGCTGTTCAGTTGAAGAGGTTCTGCCGTCACATTGCTGGGAGGGTGGTATGGCAGGCTTATATGTGGACACTGAGAATCAGAGGCTGTGGCCTCGCTGTTACTGGAGAGGTAAGTGCTTTCTCTATCCTCTGGCTCAGAGAGAGCAAGATCATCAGAGCTGTTCCATTCTGAGCTGCTGGTTTTTGTAATGTGCCTCAGGTTTGTACTTTCTCCAGTGTGCCCTCTACAGTTTGTCATCTCCTGCTGCTCACTCTGCCTGCTGTCCGAGCCAGACGAGATCCTCTCAGAAGACCCTGCTTTTCTGGCGGTACTAGACGTGTACTTTGATTTCCGTCTACAGAAAAAGAGGAAATTAATTAAGATGTAAAAACTTAAAATTCATGTATATTGTCTTAAAGCATTTTGCTACATATTATTGCTATATTACATTTCAGTGTAATAACTTGGATTTATGCAAAACAACACATTTTGGGGTGCAAACTGAAGCAGCGCAACTTTTCAAACATCCAAGATCTACAACTTGCTGGCTGGCCTAATCACCGTAATCCAAACTACTCTGACATGTCACATGTATTTTTTTAAAGATATATTATACAACTGTACTTTTTCTCAGGTATCACTGATTTTCCCCCCGCGACCCTGAAAAGGATAAGCGGAAGCGAATGGATGGATGGATGGATCACTGATTTTCACTGAATGAAATGTCCAGAAATGTTCAGGAAGGAAGCTCAGCATCTGGTCTGGTTTGCTTTTTTTGTCAGCTGAAGTTTGGGGAGGAGAAACTAAAGTTTCCATGACAGCCAGCAGTGCTGCAAAATAATCTCTTCTAGTAGTTATGCACACATCTATTTTTGATGTGGAGGGCATTGATTGTAGGAACATAACAAGTTTCCAGAGGTAAACTGAGTTTTAGAATCGCAGTGTTGACTTTCTGGCTCCATCCTTTAGGTCTCCTCTTCCATTTCATTTAGCTCTCTGTCTGTGTTCTCAGTTTATACTAATTATGCGATTTGTTAATTTATCCAATATGACCCATTACACACTATAACCACAGTGCAAGTCATCCCTATATATACAGGTGGATTAAGTCCATCAACTTGAACTATTTTTTAAAAACTAAAGCCATTTTTATGTAATTCAAGAGAAACAACAAGAAACAACCTCGAACATGGACTGCTCTTTTGATGTGAATGTGAAACTTGATCATGGTTCTTTCCCTGAGGTTTGGGTTGATGTTTGCCTATAAAACAAAACAAAACAAAAAACAGGATCAAAACAAAGCAGTAAACTGAATAAAACAGGAAACATCCAAAAAAGATAAATCCATCTTTTTATAAGGTTTATTATTACTATTATTACACAAGAAGAGCAAAACAAATATTAAGACATGGAAAATCACAGGCTAATCAAAAGTCTAAACTAAGAAGGCAGCTGGGAGAAAATCATCTATGTCTGACATCAAGGCTGTTGCCCTCTCAGGACACAAGGTGGCAGCAGCAGCAAGTTAATCTCACAAGACTTTCACACAGCTGGATGAATCAGTCAGCAAGCTCCCTCCATGCACCAGCGCAGCAAGAGGCAGTGTGGTGCTGAATTCCTTCCCTTTAAAAATAGATGTGTTATTTTTTTCTTCGCTGTTGCCCTGGAGAGGTCCATGCAAGGATAAAAGCTCTAGCTGTTGGTTGGAAACACTGGCTCTGAATGCACATAGCCTTGATTAAGTATTGAGTGCAGCACACTCCTAAGTACAGCATGCAACAGAAAGATATTTATGACAATGCCGGCAGCCACGTCCAGCTGTGCTATCTGAACAAGCTTTGTGGGATTATCATCAGATTAATGCCTGTGCAGGACTGACTGGGTGAAGAGGTTAAATAAGCCAGTCCAAACTCAACATAGCCTATACAAGACAGGTTGAAGAAGATAGAACTTTATTAATCCCTCGGGTGGGTTCCTCTGGGAAATTCGGTTAAAGAAAGAAAGAAAGAAAGAAAGAAAGATGAACTTTTGAAAGATCTAATCTAAGTTTCTTTTTTCCTTGTAAATCTTTTCATGTAAGTATTGCAAATATTTTAAAACATATAACTGAGACCAAAGTCCTGTTTCAAACGTCACATTATATTACTTTAATTTTTTTTTTTTTCCTTTTTTTCTTTTTTTTGCTTCTTTTATGGCAAAATCTACATTTAAAACATCCACATCGTGTTTTTAAAGCAGATATGACTTTGTTTGTGGAGGGATAATTACATCCACCCACAACGTATGTTTCCATGCATACCTGTTATATAAAGTGGACTTGTTACATAGAATAAGGCTGTTACATACAAGTACATGCATGTTAACACTTTACCAAAAACTGAAAATTACTAATAGCAGGTTACAATTACGCACTGCGCTGTGGTTACTTCACACACTACATTTATTACCAGCTAATTATTTTACTGTGCCACGAAAACCTCCGGAAGCCTTTAAAATCGTGGAACTTACCATTGTGTGGAGGTGAGGACATTATACTAGATTTTGCATCGCCTCCTTTTTGGTGCTGCTGGCTGAAAATAAAAGACAGCAACTGAGTGTGTTTCCAAGTGTAATACAGAGCCAGCATAAAAAAAACCCTGAAGCATCAAACTTTTACTCTTTTTCTGGCAATAAATACTGCACATCAATCCAGATAATACCAGTAGTATGGCAGCACCAAAGACATATTCAAGGTCTACTGAGACTCTAATGACTAGAATTGACTTTAGATGGAATTGACTGTATAACAGTTGTTTTGAATCTTGTCTAGTTGACCCAATATATTGTCGAGCCTGTAAAAACGTATGATTGCTTTTAATTCTTACATTCAAACTTTCATGTAGTTCTCTAGCTATACCATATATTGTTCAACAAAATGACAAAAATGTGCATAAAAAGGCTGAAAACAGTAGTAGTCCATGGTACTCTTTCATTTAAAGTGTTTTTATTTTCAACAGACATCTAAGGTAAATAACCAACCACTGAAAATATCTATCGTTATTACCAAGTTAAAACTGATTATTAATTGCTACATTCCTTCAGACCATTACAAAAATAATGCTTTGATGAGTACCATCATCAATAACATTCATGATATTTCAAGGATACCTTTGTAATATGATAGTGACTAAATGCAGTACTCAATAGGTTGTAAGAAAATGCAGTTTTTATTAAATAATTATTATTCCTAAATTTGCTTATTATATTATGAATCCTCCCTAAAATGTACCTGTGTGTATCGGTACTCTCTGTTTATAAACCATACTCACTGACAAAGACTTACAAACTGCAAATTGTACAATTATGGAGAAATTTTATTACATTTTTCATAATATTAATTTACAAAAAACAGATGATTTCCTACCTTAAATACCTTTTACTCAATATAATTACATCCTTAAATACAAGTATTTTAATAGTTTGCTTTTACTTGCATGAGGCACGTTCATATTTTAATATCTCCGTGTACAGACTGCAAATTTAGAGAGCATTTACACATGCATTTCTTTTTAAACTTTAAAGTCCTTTTTAACCATACAATTTTGGGTTGAATGTGACCTTTAAACAATCAATATTCATGTCAAATAAAGTCATTAACTGATGGGTGATTTGGAGCCTTGGTGAACACAAACAAATTTAGGACCAAATTCTCACAGTGTGACTGCTTCTCTACACACACACACAAAACAACCAATCAAAACATACTGAGTAATGAAAAGTGCCATCTGAACAAGATTTAGAATGAAAACCACTCAAAGATGGCTTTCAGTGATTAATAATTCCTTGTTAAATATACAGCCAAAACTGTTTTATAGCTTCCAGGTCTGCTTATGTATTGTAGATATATGTGCATTTCTGTGTCTGCTGCTGGCGTCCTCCACACACTCACCCTTTAAAGTGTACATGGGAATAGAGTATTAAAATAAACTTCCCTTTTTTAGCTTCTGGGAAACTTTTATAAATATAAAATGTCAGAGAATAAAAAAATAATGGAAAAATATCCTGTGTCCTATCAAAGGTTTTTAAGGTGTCTCTTTTATAATTATGGCGCTCACTGTGGATCCAAATGGATTTAGCCAGACCTACTCCAGCTGGACTCAGTCCAGGTACACTGCAGTGAGCGGCGTCCATCTCAGTCTATGGAGAAAAAGCTTTTTTGTCCACAACACAAAACGTGACCAGTGGATAAGTGGAAAAAATTAGCAAGTGGCAGAATATATCCAGCTCTCTTAAAATAACCATAGTCGCAAAAGGAAAACAAGAGTGCGCGTGACTATGAAACTAAAATGTGCAGAGCAGCATTTTTAAAACACATAAGCTAAAAAGATGGACAACACAAGTTTGTTTGTTTTTTTCTGTTTACATTGTAACGCAAATAGAAATGCTAGTTATTGTCATTGACAAGAACTTGACATATTCTCAACATGTTTATTAATGAAGGTTTTTATCCATAGTGTATTAATGCCATGGTAACGAGCTGAATCAAGAAGAAATTGTCTTCTTAGGTTCACACATAGTACACATTTCACAGTGCAGGATGAGTCATAAACCTCTTTTGGTTTTCCAGGAAAAGATAGGCCTTAAAATACATTTTGAACATATATAAAAACTACTTTTTGTCATTGTTAACACAGGCTTATTGGTGCTTTTAGAAAAAGATATCTGAAACTGTGATTTCTGGGCCAAAGTGTTCTAGGTCATCAAAATGTCCTTTTGTCACATGTACTATTTTAATGAGAAAATTCATAACAAAAGATTCACTTAAATCTTACTCTATTTCTAGAGATCTTATGATGTTGCCTATTAAATAAACTATTTATGAACACAGCATGCTGGCGATTTGCCGCAGGTAAAATTAAAATGACAGTATCTGTCATAGTCATCAGCTGAGTCTTACCTTTGCAGCGGTACCTCCGCTGTTGATCTCTGGTCTTTAACAGCAAAGCCATCGACCCCAGGAGAATCAGGATTGGTGGAGCCACTGCTGAGTCTATCACTGCTCTCATAGCCAGACTCTGTCCTTTGAATGGTCCAGGTATCACTACGTAGAAGAGTCTTTGGGCCCCCCTTTAGTTTGCTGCCCCTCTGGTAATTTGCTCGGCTTTCTGACTCTACAGAGCTGTGGCTCTCAGTCTCAAGCCGCTGCTCGTCCTCATAAATTGTCATTAAACATTTCTGTTTCCGATCCTCTCTGGTTCGGACATATTCCCGCTCGCGATCTCGGTTTTGTTCTGGGTGCACCCTCTCGTGTGATGGAGGCTTACTACACCGCGGGCTGTCATGTTGCTGCTGACGCCGCTGCTCTAGTTCATTCAATACCGTGTCCACATTTAACACCTCCCGAATAGGTCTCCAAGTACACTTAGACTTATTGCGACTTCCTCCACTCCCACCTTTTTCCCATTGGTCATGGGTGCCATCCTGGTCATTGTGACCTGGGAAATTATTAGTTTTCCGACTATGTCCACCACTCTGTGCACCAAAGGACTGTCCATGTGGCTCCTGAGATCCTCTGCTTGAATGGTTTGACGGCTTCTCATTACGTGGATAGCTTTTTGATTTTTCCACAGGAGGCCCTGGACCATTCTCTGGTGGAGATGAAGGTCTTGCATGCGTCATATCTAAGAACAGTGAACACAGATTATTTGCAGAATATCGCATGTAGAGCCCATGCAGTCTGCAAATTTGTCTTTCTCCTCCCAGATTTACACTGCTACCCTTATAACTAGAGAACATGTGCTATCTGCACACAGCCCTCTACCTTTGTTTTGTGATGGTTCAGTTCTTCGATGACCTCTGTCTTTTTTTGATGTTTCACCTGGCCTCTGCAAATTCTCCATGAAAGTTTCCTGAAATTTGTTAGGACTGCCAAGAGGATGTTTTACTGTTGGGGAAAATAAATTAATCAAATGACAGGACTGTGGTTTCTCTACAACACAGAAATTATACTGTTTTTGACAAAGAATTTGGAATATTTCTGGCTTTCGAACAACTAAATGAGTGCTAAATATTTACTTTGAGCCATAAACTACCTTTAGCAGGGTTAGTTCCCATGGCCCAAATTTAAGAAAAGAAAGAAAGAAAGAAATAACAAGTAAAATGAAAAACTCTAAAGATTTGTATATATTTTAACTCAAGACTACAGTCTATACAAAAGACATTATTGTGCTTTTGACCAACATTATGTATGACGTAACCACAACTCTCCAGCATCACAAATATTTTGGCAAAGAGACAATAAGAGCACACACTCAAATGTGCATTCTAACTTTGAGTAATGTACTCTATCTTTTTATTTCTGCCAGGACGCTGGGGATGTAGCCAGTGGCCAGTGACTACAGATGTTTCTCATTTGACATCATGGTCACATTGATCGAACGTCCATATTGGTTGTAAAACAACCACCGACAGCGGGAGAAAAGTGTAAATCCCGGAACTGGTTAGCAAGTGGTTTCTGGATTTTGTCGGCTATTACTAGGTGAAACTGGTCGCAAGAGAGTGCTGCTTGTCAGTGGTTTGATTGTTACCAAATGGCTACAGTCGCCTGTGGAAAATGTCTGCATTGTCTGCAAGCACTCACAATCTACTAATCTACTGCAGTCTACATGTTCCAGAAGATGCAACATTGATTTTGAAAGCAAATGTTTCAATACAGCTCGAAGAGTAGCCGGGGAACATCTGCCGGTGTGTCAGTGTGCTCAATGCAAACTATGGGTAACCAAAGCAATCTTAAAGAGGTTTTTGCCAATTACTCAGGAAATACACATGGTTGCTAGGACCAGTTTTTAGGCCTGCATGATTTAGCCCTCTGGGCTATTCACTTAATCTATGATCGTCATCATGACTGTCACATGTCCAAAGTGGGCAGACAAGTCAACATGACGTAGTTAGCAGTCATGAATCTCACAAAACCTCAATATCATTTTTTGATCCATAAGATGTGAAATCCTGTGCAAACACTTATTCAACAGCAATTGGAAACTTTGTCTGGTTAAGCAAAAACTGGTTGCCTTGTGGTCTTGTTACATCCTGAATCTCATGATAAGACAGCAGTGTTAATCTGTTTGCACAATTAGTGGCTGTAAATTCATCCATGGGCTATGATTTACTCTTAGAGTGACTCCTTTTGCATTTTTTCCTGTGCCATATACTTATAAGAATTAGTTATGAATCAAGTAAACGGTATTGCATGAGAAAATGTTAGAAGGGCTACTTTCATTATTAAATCATAGTCCATATAAAGTACACAGTAGATGCACCATTCTGCCGTTGCTTCTTGCCAATGGGGAAAGAGACAAAACAAGGAACATATGCTGCATCATTAACTTTGGTAAAATACACAATTGCTGCCATGGCTGCCCACCCTGTGGTGTTTCTTTGCCTTTTGTAGCAAACGGGTCACTGTGAGAAACAGTGCTGATGTGAACTGTGAACATCTGGCTTTTTAATGAGCATGATCACCTTCCACTGTCTTTTACTTTTGTAACTCAGCTCTTCTCTTAGTTACTTTGCTTTTTGCAGCACTGTCTCTTTCTTTGTATGTGTACTGTGCTTTAAGCAGAGGTTTCATTTTTACTTTTTATTATAAGATCTACATTAAAACATAATACAATTATTACACTACAAATATTTATATGGTAGTGAAGGAAATATTGTGAGGATTATCTGAAACATGAGGTGAAATATTGCATAATGCTGTGTGTATGCAACGCTGGATGTTACAAAAGTGGTGAGTAAGAGCAGTGAGTAAACTGTCATATACTGTTCATGCAGCCCAATGTTGGCATTGAAGGACATCGACTGTTCCAAGCATACTAAACAGTATATGCAGCAAAGTGCTGTTTAATTTAATAAAGCAAATTTTATCTTGTGTCTTGAAATGATAGAGCAAATTTGTAACGAAAGCATTAAACCACAAAACATTTCTGGGTTTGTTGCTCTAGTTTGAATGAGCATAAAGTACTGTACAGGACTGAAAACTCACTCCTAAAAACTGCACATCAAATTAACAGGACAACAGGCAAAATATGATTACATTCAATGAAAGGATAATAAAAAAAACTGAGCCATCTGAGTGTGAAGCAAATGCATCAACGACTTACTTTGAATGTCATAAAAACAAAAATCCTGTTCCATGCCAAAGTATCTGGGCTCCACATTAAAGCAAAACAATCCATCTAAACAGGAAAGGTGCCATTGCCAAAACCCCAAGCTTAGAAATTAATGGAGGCAAATGTCGGAAATGTCCAGGGGAGGAGTGAGAACTGTGGAGCAGGGGCATGAGTGCGTTTGGCCACAGGAGCGGGGATTAGGGAGCAAGGCGTGGGTGGTAATCTGCGTGCAACAGAGGCATCATCCTCATGTCAAGTTCAAGCCAGCACATAGAGGACAATCTTTCCGCCTGAGGTTTAACGGCATCACCCTGACGGAAACCATAACTGTAATTTGTGATTGACTGAAATCACCACTGTCATACTATTGTCATACTGTTAAATTTTACCTGATGATACTTTCACAAAGACAATTCAAATGCTGAAACAGACTGGGCTTTTTGGAAAAGAAATTACTAGACAAATTGGAATGGATCAGCATTCTGATCCCTATCATGCTCTCTTATGTCGCAGCTTCATTTCACTTTAAGTTCCCGGACAAGCCAAGGATAATCTCTGTGATTGCAGCCTGGTGGACACTAAACCCTATTGTTGCACAAAACTCATTGTGTAAGTGTAAGGTTTGCTTAGATAAATCATACGCACACAGTAAAAAACACACAGTACTTTTTTAATCTAAGCTAACAGAGAGAGCACACTGCATCTTACTCTGAAAAGAACACTGAGCCCAACATTATGTAACTAAAGCAAAATTCAAAGAAACAAAATTCCTTTAGCTGGCTAAAATTATTACGTATTACTATGTCAGAGGATTATTTTACTCCTTGCTGTATGTCCAGGTAGCTTTTAGAACGCTAATGTTAGCTGTCTGTTAGCAAGCTACTGCAGTTACTTAAGGCATTTGTAAACGTAATAACATGAATCATTGTTTTTTTTTTAATAATCCAGGGTCCACTATTATAGAGTTACATATGTGTTACCTTACTTTAAAAAAAAATAGCCTCACACTGGCATTTGAATATCACTGATAAAATACAAGATGCTAAAATATACACAGATCACATCAAGTGTCAGGATCCCACAATTTTTCTATTCTTTCTCCTCTTGTTTATACAAAAAAAACTGTGCATCCCACTCCACAGCATGTATTAGGCACTTATTACATTAATCAGATAGAGTTGATATGGAGGCATCTTTACACAATCAGAAGTCAGAGCCATGAATTGTTGTCTCCTGTGTGAGTGGGAATTAACTTCACTCTATGCTATATGAGAGAACATTTGAGTTTGTGAATGTGTGCGCACATGTGTGAAATTTCACATACCCCATTTTATAGTGTGAAGAATCAGTTAAGACTCATCCAGATATTAGCTGCCTAATATTACCTCATTCTTTTCACACTAGTGTTTCAGTAAAACCATCATTCCTTTTTGGAAAGTTTGTATGTCCAATCTGAAGTCACAAAAAGTTTTATGGTCATTTATCATGAATCTCCTGTTCCACCATGTGCTTTACTAGATTGAGATCTGGTGACTGTGGAGGCCATTTGAGTATAGTGAACTTAATTTACTGTTCAAGAAGCCAGTTTTCAGTGATTTGAGCTTTGGGACATGGAATGTAGCGGAGGTAGCCATAAGAGGATGGGTACAGTGATGGGTACATTTGGTGCTAAGGGGTCCAAAAAGTGTGCCACATAATATCCCCTACACTATTACACCACCACAATGATGGTTCACTGCTTTCATGTCATTTACATCAAATTCTGAGCCTACCATCTGAATGTTGCAGCCAAAATCAAGACTCGTTAGATCAGGCAAAATGTCCAATTTTGGTGAGCCTGCGCAAACTGAACCCTTGAGCTCCTGTTCTTAGATTGTTCTGACCTCTGATATCAACAGGGCAATTTTTCCCACAGAAGTGCTGCTCACTGTGAATTTTCTTTTATTTGTCTTTTTATGTAAACAGCAGTTTTGCACTTGAGGAAGTAAAACATAAACATTTAATGCTTTGAATAATTACAGGTAGTAATCAGGACTTAACTGTAGATTATCCCTAATCTGACTCGGGGTAGGCCATTATTTAATCTCATGGATTTATTGACAGTATTTGCCAACAATCCAATAATCATTAATACATTATTTACTTTCTCAAGTTAGTAAATGCAGGATAACTGATTTGTCAAACGATCTTGATGTAGAAAAATGAAGGAATGAACAGAAAGTAGGTCTATACTATTCAAACCATAAATACAAGCATTTCTGAGGCAGAGTTGAACATGTTTAGAGTGGGAAAATATAGTTCACAGTAAAAAGACATCACACCTGATATATATTGTGGATTATCGCCTTTATATATATGTGTGTATATATTAAATATACGCATATATATATATATATATGAGAAGTTATCTTTTGTCTCATCCTGGACTGTGGTGCTGACACTCACCAGTCCCCGGCCCCCTTCCTTCCGCTTAGCGTACAGCCTCAGGGTGCTGGACTTGGGGTGAAACCCTCCATACATGGTAAGGAGCTTTCTTGTCTTTATGTCAGTGGCTTCTATCTCCTCCTTTGGCCAACTTATTATACCAGCTGGGTACCTGATAACGGGGAGGGCGTACGTGTTGATAGCCCGGATCTTGTTCTTACAGTTCAGCTGACTCCACAGGACTTGCCTGACCCTCTGCAGGTACTTGGTGGTTGCAGCTTTCCTAGCTGCCTCTTCATGGTTCCCATTCGCCTGCAGGATCCCCAGGTACTTGTAACTGTTTTGCGCCTCAGGTATTCTTGCCAAGGCATACATGGAACGCCATAACCAAGTGACCGGCATAGTGTACAGGAACATCTGTGCCGAGTATGGCCTGGAAGTTCCGAGGTCAAAATGGGAGATGCCCCCAAGGGTGGTGGAGAATGACCGAGCTAAGATCCTGTGGGATCCTTCCAGATACAGACGGACAAAATGGTGGTGGCTAACCAACCAGACATAGTGGTGGTAGACAAACAGAAGAAGACGGCCGTAGTGATCGATGTAGCGGTTCCGAATGACAGCAATATCAGGAAGAAGGAACACGAGAAGCTGGAGAAATACCAAGGGCTCAGAGAAGAGCTCGAGAGGATGTGGAGGGTGAAGGTAACGGTGGTCCCCGTGGTAATCGGAGCACTAGGTGCGGTGACTCCCAAGCTAGGCGAGTGGCTCCAGCAGATCCCGGGAAGAACATCGGAGATCTTTGTCCAGAAGAGCGCAGTCCTGGGAACAGCTAAGATACTGCGTAGGACCCTCAAGCTCCCAGGCCTCTGGTAGAGGACCCGAGCTTGAAGCATAAACCGCCTGCAGGGGTGAGCTGGGTGTTTTGTTTTGTTTTTTGAGAAGTTATAATAAGTGGAAGGCTGTCTTACCGTTCATGTCACCGTTTACTTGGGCTTTGTAGCGGGGACACATGGTGGTCTGCCTTGGTGCATCTTCATTAGATACAGGACTGCCCTCGGGGTTGGTGTAAAATAAAAGAAGCGGCTGGAAATGTCCTCTAATACATTTAGAAGCAACATCTTTCCATTTGGACCCAATCTGAAAAAAAGGTGAAAATAACTGAGTTAGAGCATGTAACACAGTAGTAGGTAATACACTTTTGAAAAGGGGTAAGGCGGATTAATGGCAGACATCCTAACCTCTTTCACAGTAGCATCGTCGAAAAACATCCACTTTGAAGATTTGGTGTGATAGGCAAAAGCTGAGTAATGTTTACTCGCAAAACAGATCATCCCCACCAGATGTAGCTCACTCCGTTTAGCATTTTCATCAGTGACTCGGTTGAAAAGCTGAAAGAGATCAAATTGAAGTTTGATGGTTTTGTGCCAGATTCTAAATCCTATGAAAATATCAGTTATTTGTGTGACTTCCGTGGCCAGTTTAAAGATTACAGCATGCTGACCTTCATATATATGATATTAAATGATAAAATTGACAAATATCTTTCGATATGTACATTTGTAACAAGTCTTTTAACACACTGGACAAAAGTGCAAAAAGTACAATGTTTTTTATCTATAATAATCTAATGGAATTCCATTTGTTATCAGGTTACTGGTGACTCCATTCAACCTTTCACTTGGTCTTACCCCACACAGGTTCAAACGGGGGCTAAGGGACTTAATAACATCATCTGTAAGATCAGACTGCTCGGCGTCCCATACAAATCCAATCGTCACAATCTCTGGACAGTTCATTAGGACGCGACGGATCTTGATGCTCTGACCACAGTTACTCTGCATAACAAATAATGCATTTAAGGATAAAAACAACTGGGCATAGCAATTTTTAATTGTCCAGTAAAGTCCAGTAAAACTATATAATCTTTCTATTTGAAAAAAAAAATTATGTTTGCCTTTAAGTTATGCAGTAATGGGAAATGTACCTTTCTAATGGGCTACTAGTTTAGGCAAATATGCTGTCTTTTCTAACTCTGAGAAAAACCCACTCTGTTGGATGTTTTGTAATTAGTTTTTTAGTGATAACGTTGTAAAGTTGTAATAAAGTTGTTTATAAAACACTTTACCGAATTTGCAAAATACTTTAAAACAACAACCAATAAAAACAAAGAAGCAGACACTGGTAAGGAAAATGGCAAAGTTCTTCACTCAAAGTAATAAAGGCATTAAATAAACAAGACAACAATGAATAAACAAGACGCACAATAAAACAATGAAATGACCGTGTGTAAATAAAACACTTACAATGTGGTTGAAAGTTTTGAATTGTTTTACAATTTGATTGAGGCTAGCTGTTCTGCTTATGTAACTCTCACTGAACCAATCTCACTGTTGGAAACACAGATTTAAAAAAAGCAAACGTGAACTTTTCTTACTAACTTCTTTTAAGCAAATTTCCCCAAATGTCAGAGTCATAGGTTGTGTCTTTTTGAGGTATAAACAAAAAGATGAAATAAACTGAAAGGAAATTAAAGTGACTTAAATATCATCATCAGAATATTGCAAAGGCATAAAGCAGCCAGAGAGCATGGGAAGAGTACGGGTTTAAGGGAACACAGCACTGTGCCTTAACTGATGCACACTGAAAAGAAGACAGCGGTAGCAAATACAGATGAGAGAAAAACAGTGGATAAGCCCTTACCGCTATTTATATCCTAACACTAGTCTGGCATCGTCTCCTTCCGGTCGCTTCAAGTGCAGTGTCGCAGCAGAAAGCACAGAGTGTACTCTGCACAGTTGCAACAGTCATTTTTGTGTCCATTTTAAAGTATCACACTAACTGTTAAACTGAATGCCTAAATTATTCATTTATAGCTGCGTCAAACAAATCAGCATTTGCTAAAGGTTAAATTCAGACAGATGTTCTTACTAAATAGCAAAACAGGGAAAAGGTAGTGAGCCACCGATTTTCTAAGAAATATTACCAGAGGAAAAGGAAAAGTGACAGCAAATATGGAACATACCGGGCAGCTTCGGAGGTCACCTGTGTTGTTTGCTGCCTGCAGCAACTCTCCAAACATGTCTGACCTTAGCCGCTCGCTCTTCCCCAACATGCGATCAACCTGTTGGCTGGGTGCAAAAACAGAAAATGCATCAACTAATATTTTGTTCCCATTCGATGTGTAACATTAAAAAAAGTGTGAATCAGAAAATATGATCCAAACAATAAATCTGATATAAATTCTGTATTTAAGCAGATAATAATAATAATTTATGCTATTTATTATTGAGGTTGTGCATTTTATTATTTTTTGTCTTTGTAAGGTAGAGTGTGCAAAGCCCAGGAAACACCTACTGATAAAATCCAATAATAATAACAGACTACAGCTAAAAATCCCCTCTGGACACCTTTAAAGAAATATAAAAACACTTTTCCATTACAAAACTGTGCAAACTGTGCAATTATGTAGCAGGTAACAAAGCATCTAATAGATCTCTGAAAGAGTAATTGACTCTGCAAACAATTCAAAAATTCACAAATCCTGCATGAATGTACACACATCTCATACTTATATAGAGTAGAAAGAGAATGTAAAAATATCTTTCCATTAAACTGTTTATGAAGGTGTTTTGTTTTTTAACACACAAAGTGAAGGTTAAATATACAAAGGAAATCACAATAGCAACCATAGTAGGTGACACTGGACTGGAAAATGTTGAGGTCGTTACGATATTGGAATTTCAAACTTCATAGCAATAGCCAGCAAAATACTGGATACCACTTTTTTACCATTAAAAAGAAATACAAAATTAATCAATGACAACACTATTTTTAGGTTGTCTGAAACAGGACAAAAAACTATGAGGATAAAAATTACAGATATTTTAAGACTTTCGTTGGTAGTGCAAAAAAGGAAAAAACATATTTTTAAATTGTCTGAAGTAGTGCTGTGCTTCAGGTGACGGCACTATATACAGTACTGCTGATCAGGGGGGCTTTGTAAGGTAGGCTGCCAATGTTTCTATGTAACTGATGTAGACTTCTCTCAGTTTCAAATTGTGATTTTTTGTCAAATTTGTTTTTAGTGTTATCCTGATAATTAAGGTTGCCTATTAATAATAAACATAGGCAGGACTGATAAGGTTCGCTTCCTCGCTCCCACATGAATATTGCTGTTTTATCTTTAACCACAGCCGCTAGCTGCTGCCTTAGTGGTTATTGGGGGATTGCTAATAGTTAAACAGCTAACATTAATGTGTACGTTGGTTAAGTTAACAGTTATGATAACTGTTTAATATTTAATGTTGTTGAAATGGGAGCTTCACCAACCTCTGAAAGTGAGTAAAGCAAATATGGATCAAGACATATTCAGTTTTGTTATCATTAGTATATTAGTACTGATTTTAGACAAGATCAGTCACTACTAAACATTTTTTATCTTTATGGTACAACAGTTTGTAGTGGCCAGCATTAGAGTTGTGGCCACTAGGTGTATATATTCATTTACTAGGTGTATATAATTAGCAGGGTGTTATTTAGCATCCATTTTGGGGTTCTTAAGAAACAAAAAGATTAACACAGAAAATTTCAAACAGGGATAAACTGATTGTAAAAATTCTTGGGCAATGTTTGAAATTTAGCTAATATCAAGTTAATGCAGATGTCGATATCTATACGTTTTTATGCACTTATTCCCCCATTGGTGGAAAAGAAGCAAATTCATTTTCTAAACAACTATTACTTTAATAAATAACAATTTTAAGTCGTTCAGCTTTTCACCTCACTATCTTTTAAAATTAATGTGGCAATATGAGTGAGCAAAGCTGTTCAACCTTTATTGCTATATGTCTTCTATCCATCACGTTTTGTTCCATAACGATTTAAAAGCACAAAAACATTTATAATCTATTAATTTCAATTTAATAACGCTAGCTTGGAAATAAATGAATCCAAATGGTAAATGGCCTGCATTTGTATAGCGCTTTACTCAGTCCCTAAGGACCCCAAAGCGCTTTACACTACATTCAGTCATTCACCCATTCACACACAGGCAATGGCAAGCTACATTGTAGCCACAGCTGCCCTGGGGCGCACTGACAGAGGCGAGGTTGCCGGACACTGGCGCCATCGGGCCCTCTGACCACCACCAGTAGGCAAACATGGGGTTAGTATCTTGCCCAAGGATATTTGGCATGCAGCCAGGAGGCAGCCTGGGATCGAACCACCGACCTTCTGATTAGTGGCTGACCTGCTCTGCCACCTGAGCTACAGCCAAGTCTAGTCTTTGGACTAGACTTGTAGTCTAGTCTAGTCTTGGAGCATAGCTGAGCCACTGTGTGAGAGCTGAGCAGCGAAAGGAAATTCAGTGAGGAGCCGACTCTTGCTCAATGGGAGTCGACTCTTCTGATTCACTACAAAGCACTCTCTAAGCACGGCTCTTAGAGCTGATACTTTTGTGTGTGACACATTATCAAATGTTACGTTGTGTGTCATGGATACTGTTGACTCCAAATCTCCCGACCACTATGTCGATCTGACACAGCAAGACCAAGACAAGACCGAGGGATTCGAGACCAACACAAGACCGAGACCAAAGTACGTCAAGACCAAGACAAGACCAGTCCAAGTTAAAGTGGTCTCGAGACCGGTCTCAAGACCAGTCTTGAGACATCCAACTCTAGCAAAGACACTATTATTGATTTCTCACATCATTAAAATTGTGTGAAAAATTGATGGAAGTTTGTTTCTGCCACTGAAATGCTTCTTTTTGGCTGTCAAAGTCAAACTTTTTGGTTATTGTCTTTAAATTTCAACTTAATAATTTGAAATTATGGTTAGGTCTGAGACTCACTAATTCAAAATATTGAAAACATATGAAAAAAAATACGTTTCAATTTAGAGATAATACGCTGGATCTCCAAAAGTTGATTCTGTTCATCTGGACATAGCGTTTTGTGGGAGAAACGTTTTGTCACTCATCCAAGTGACTTCTTCAGTCTCAGCTGACTGCAGGTTTCCACAATCTTATAAACAGTACATTTGCATAATGACTGAAACCAGCCCACTGAAGGATAATAATACGCTGGAATTTCTTTTTTGTCAGGTGCAGGTGAAAAAAGTCAGAAACAATCTTGCACATATTTGAACTAAAAATTGTGACTACAATAAACCACAATAGACCTGCTGATAATAACCAGCCTTGGATTTGTAATGTGATGGCTTGATTAAAACTAGTAACCACCATAGTTATTTTAGCATTGGTAGTATTTTGACATTTAAATTGGGTTTACTGCTTTGGCCTGATTTTTTTAATTTTTAATCAACCAATATCAATATTTTTTATCAATCGAGTACTTACCATAAAGCAGTAGTGGAGACATAATGTACTAATTCTGTGAATGGGTGTGGGTCTGAAGATGCACCACAACAGCGACACACGAACTGCAAAACAAAGGCTGTGCATTATTCTACTGTTTCAAGTTTACAGTCTAGCGTGTTAGATGCATATTTCTAACAAGCAACCAGCTATATGACTCTTTTTATTATTTCAATTTATTAATTGAAAAAACTGACCAACTTAAAATTATGCCCTTCTTTTGCACAAGACAACGCTATTGTGTAGTTTTTTTTTAATAACACATAGTGGTTTTTTACAAGATTACTCACTTGCTCATAAAGCATCATTGCAAACTTCTGATGGGTGATGCAGGATTTGGATGAGCATGAATCAGTCGCCGTGTCTGAAACTATGTGTAAATGAATTCGCTCCAAGATGTTCTCCTATTATGTGTGAGAGCAGATACAGAGGCAACGATCAAAACAAAGAACACAGCACAGGTGCGTAATTGTAAACACAAAAGTTGACGCAGTAAATGAGAACCACTGAGTAACACTTCACGTAAGCGTGTATTTAATACTCCTCAAAAACGTAACTATGGTGATCATGTACCAACATTTGTACAGTCTTTTAATGTTCCTATTTCTTCTTTCTTTTCTTCAGTAACACAGTAATACTCTGTAACACTCAGTTAGTGTGGAAAGGCGAGCTGAAGATTATTTTTGATTGTAAAGCAAACGGCACGGTGTCAACATACAAAGCACTCAGCAGCATCATCCATCAGCCCAAGCTGGAAGCGTTGCTCATCCTTAAAAGTTTCAGCAAGGGCGTTACGCAAGCTGTCGGAGGGAAGCACCCGCTCTCTGCTCTGCTGAAACTGGCTGAATATACTCTGAAAAAGACATAATTAGTTGCATAATTAATTATTAGTTTGCGATGCAGATATTGCATGTATGATCAGACAAGAATTTAATCCTGGACAAAACTAATTTAAAAAGAAGAAGAATGACTTAATTAATTAACACTAAATGTACCTTTAAAGCGCAAAAAATGCAGGCATCACCGAGACAAAAGTGACCTGAGAGCTGCCTCAGACTTCTCCTGAAAATGTCCAGCTGCCAAAGCACCTGTGGGGGTCCAATCAACCACACACATGTGTTCACACAAGGACATAATCTAAAAAAGAGTGTTAGAGTTACCCAGAAATCTAAACCTATTTAAAACATGGTGCACACCTGAACAGCGCTGTTTAAGAAGCAGCTATTCTGGCCGGGCTCATTCAGCAGGCCTTTGGTGAGTGCGAGGGACAGCATGCTCCCAGGCTGGTAGGATTTCTTCAGGCCTCCTCCAGGTTTTTTGAACATCTTCACCCATGCCATGGAATTATTGCCTGCAGCTAAAGGAAAAGAATAACTTTTTAAATTAGAACTTCCCAACGTTATTCTCTCTACACAAATCAACTTTTGACTTACTTTTTGTTCTTATTACCAAGTAATGATGCAACTCTAAGCTATACTTTTTAATAGGTAATCAGTAATTAACAAAATACTAGATCAATGTAGCACCATACACATTCTTATTTCCTTATACTTTGTTCATCTGCCTTTGTCCCATGTACTTATAGTTGGTGCTCAGTAGGTTTAAATATAATATATTATAATAGATATTTTATTTTATTGTATTTTTTTGGTGGTGGTGTTATAAATGAAACTTTGAAAAAGAAACAACTAGTGTCAACTCAAAACACACCACCACCCAGATTTCTGTCCATTTAAATGCAGTTGCAGCTAAACTCCAGTATACCTATAGCAATAATATTTATTGCATACTGTAATGGAGGCCCTGCTTGAAAATTCTGTTAATCTTGGATACAGTGTTCATTACATCACTAATGCAAATGACTGATTTGGTCAGACGCCAGATGAATCCTGTGAACTACCTTCTCCAGAGTTGGGGGGAGACTTGCTGCAGTTGGACATGTTGGGATGAGGGAGATAGTGAGTTGGTCTGGCCATGGGCTCCAACCATTTCATCCCCACGCACCTCCTGAGCGGTTTGTGGAAAGCATTGTCAGCCACAAGGCAGCCTCAGCCATGTGCTGCCCAACATTGAATGCTACTGGACAAAGTCTGAGGACCGAGGGGGGGAAAAAGGTGTAATATTTTAAATAGTGAGAAAATATTTTATTATGGAATTCTCAAAAACTATGATTGTTTTTAATCTTAAACACGAAATAAAATACAGATATAAGATAAAATAAACAACAATCCAAAGACACTTTCTTGTATCTTACTTATATGATCCGACTTTACTCCTTTCATGTCTCTGGAATAGCTTAATTTCTTATGAATAGAAGGAAAGTAGTAAATAACTCCGTGGTTGTACATTTTAAAAAGACATAACATTTAATTTTAAAGCTACATCCATACATGCATAAAAAAAATCAAAACACAAATAAATGAATCGTGACTTGTGCAAGATCCCTCATTTGCATGTCTATACACAGGCGAATAAGTTATTATTTTAAATAGTATATTATTGGTAAATGCTATTGTAAAAGTGACATAGCCAATATGAAATACATGCTGAAACAACGTTGATTTCAGGACATTAATTTCATCCTGAAGTCAATGTTGATAACAAACTCAACAGTGTCATCATATATTCTAACGTTTCAGTGGCCACATGTGTTTGTTGCAACCCTCTCTGACACCATGTGATGCCTGTATAGGCCTATACGTGTACATAAGCGCCCATCTTTGCTATCGGGTTCATGAAGAGGGCATACATCCTCCTTTATTGAACGGGATTTGTTGACCTGATCCTTGGTCCTGTGTTTCCCTGCGATAACAACCTACCCACCCTACACCCACTACCCCAATAAATAAATAAATAAATAAAGCTTCGACGTTCCCACAGTAGGAGACACGTTGCCAGTGTTACACAGCCTTACGCTGTAGATTTTACTGTATATGGGAGCAGCTCCTAGTCTGCCACTGTATTATAAATATGCCGCAACTTGCATTCATGCAGTGGGAAAACAAGCGCTCTTCTACACTCACCTTAAAGAGAAGTCGGATATCGGATAGTTGTCTCCCCTCTCCGCTGAAGGCGCAGAGCGGTCCAGCTGTCAACGCAAAAAAAAAAAAAAAATCCAAAACAATCCACGATTGGTCGGTGAATCCTGCAAATAAAACTGCCCAGAAATGACTGCAGATAGGTCCACGTAACGCACTCTCTGTGCAGCATTCCCAACCCCTCCGACACGCACACGAGCGGCAGCCCGAGCCCCTGCTTCCCTGCTTGATAGCGCACTCAACGCAGGACAGTGTTATTTCACTGGAATTAGTCCCCCCGCCTTTTGTTTTTTTGTAAAACGGGGCCGATGATGGCCTGTACCAGAATGTCCGACGCGGATTAGTGATGTTTTGAGACTTGAGAGGTCAAACTCCGCCCCTAGTGTAGCCTCAAGTGCACTGCTGCTGTATTGCAATCTTCAATCCCTGCATGGCAAACTGTGTGCTGGCGGAAGGTCAGACTTCCAACTTGTCATGATGATGATGAGAGAAGACATCACATGACTGCACTGGTTTCATAATCATGCAGCACCGTGGGGACTAACCCCTGCCTGCGCTGTGCAGCACAGGCTCTCATTCAAAAAAAAAAAAAAAAAAAAAAGAGTAGCATGTCTTTGCTGCGTTTTATGTCTTTGTTTGGAGTCCAAGTGAAATCCCAAATGCGTAAATATTCCACAAGTGTCTTTTCAAGCAACGCCAGATAAAGGGCTCCGTGACCGTTCTTATAAAATATAAGCTGGGGGAGAAAAAAACTGCGCCCAATATTGAACATTTTGTCAAGAGGCTTTGGAGAAATTTTAAACCCACAGTCTCTATCTGTGTGAGTGTAATGCTGCAGTAAACAGCACATGCAGTCGCTAAAAAAAATCCGGGCAGATGGAGGGCCTAGCAGGGGAAAAACTGCCCAGCTGAGCAGGTTATAAGTGTACACAGGAAGACTCAAAGAGACTGATGGTGCATGTAAGCTGGAGTCAGCAAAAGTGCCACTAATTGGTTGTGTCTTTCCCACATAGGTTACAGTGCATCTTTCCTGCACAGGAGAAAGTTTTGGTGCTTAACCGTAAAGCAAACTAAAGGAGAAAAAAACTGACTTCAAATCTTGCCAAGTGCTCATGCTGTTTTCCTACTTTGAATATTTACATTTGTGTATGTGAGTGTATACATGTTTGTGTGTGTGCGCTTGTGTATCCACAGCATGTGGTGCCAGCCTGTGAAAAAACAAGTAAATCACTGTTTATGAGCTGTTACACTGAGGAGTCCTTGTTGATCCTGAGTCCAAGAATGAAATCTGTTCAGGAATATTAAACAGGCACTTTGTCCTGTGGCTGGCAGTCACACGCAGAACTATCCCAGTGACTCACTGTAACACTCACTGTAAGAATCGACACCTTCAAGTTTGACCCTGGATGCTGTGACGCAAATCAGGCATTACTACTATTTACACGTGATCCTGAATATATTTAGCTCCATACTCCTAAACCGATATATAGATAGAGTTGTGCAATCTTATCTGAGAATACCTTTAAGATATTATGTGTATTCTTCCAGTGAAATAAATTCTGCTGTTAGTCTTTTCCAGCATTAGCACTGAAACCTCCCGTGGGAGACATGAAAAGGTGTTATTTATAAATACATCTGAAAAAAAAAACCCAACAACATAGGCTTCAAATTTATCCTGCTGAATGTTAGTTTGCTGATTTCGGCTCAGATGTGCTGTCAAACACATCTTAAATGTTCTTAAGGTTATTTTTGGAGTTGGATGAATCTATTTTTCTTTCTTTTCCTGTTTTCTGCATGTGGTGTTATAACCCAGCCTTCCTGCAGCTCTTAACTCTGGAGCATTGCCACCACAATGAGTGGTTATTAGAGGGAGTTGCGTTTTTGCAATACTTGTAGTTTTTTCCCGTGACAGTCAGGTTTTGAGAAACATAAAGGCTGGTCAGCTGGACCAGATTTATAATTTATAATCAATGTCACGCATGCTTACACGTGTGTAACACTTTTTGTTTTGTTTGCACATGTACATACATGCTCAACCATGAAAACAAAACATCACTTTTATTTAAAACACAAAACATGCACAGCGTGTGTCATTTCAGGAATGAAACAAGATTTCAGAACTTGCTTTAACACATTCATTAGACTACCATCCAATCTACTTACCAAAAACATTTTTATGTCTCTTAATAATTACTGTTGTTATCCATTAGTTTTCAATGTAATTGTTTTACAAAAGAAAAGAAAAAATAATAATATAAAGCCCATTTTTTCTTATGTTATTAAGATGCCAAATCACAGTTATTTGCTTGCATTTCTGGACAGAAACATTTTAGTGGTTGAATGTTATCTTTGATTAATGTGTGAGCTCTCATGAAAATCCAGTGACATAAAAATGTGAAATCACAATTTTTTAGTTGTAAACAAGTTTTTTGATAGATTTCTAAAATATTTGTATTTTCTTATTTTTTATAAGAAGTGGTCTAATAAATTTGTTAAGCACTGTAAGTAAAAGCTTCTGATGTGATGAACTGCTCGCACATCATTCTGCAGATACTATTCGACCTTCTCTGGAGTTCTGAGATTTTAGAGAAATCTTGTGTGATGTTTCTTCTTGTTTTCTCACCTTGCTCTCTTCCATATATTTTGCAGCTGTCTGGAAGACACCGCTTGTTTCTGTTTCTTTTCCACTTTGAAATTAATTAATAGCACACAATGATATTATATAATATAAGGAATATTTTATAATTAAGTATTATATAATTATACAAGTATTATATAATATAAGGAATAATGGTACATGTCTGATTCTTCAGCTCAGTATCAAACACCTGTACAGTGATTCATTGTATTACTATATGTATTTGTACAGTATATGTAACGATGCTGTTACAACTTCTGTCTCTACTTTCTATGATGAGAAACAATAAAACACAACAATTACATTTTTTTCTTTAGTGTTTTTGGTTTTTTCCCTTCAGGCACGGTAGAAATAACTGTGTGTGTGTGTGTGTGTGTGTGTGTGTGTGTGTGTGTGTGTGTGTGTGTGTGTGTGTGTGTGTGTGTGTGTGTGTGTGTAAGAGAGAAGAACAGTGTAACTTTTATACAATAGTTACATTCACAGAAAAAATATGGGAACAGCTTAAATATTTTTATACATACACTCAGTACTTTTTTTTGGATGGAATTTTTGGATGAATTTAGTTTAGACCTCAGTTTATTTATAAATGTTGATTTATAATTGTTTCCCTAGTGGATTTTTTTTCTTTTTTACAAATCTAAATTTACACTCACTCTGGCCTTTAAACAATGCTCAACTGATACTAAGGAACCCAAAGTATGACAACAAATCCCCCACCATTACCATCCTGATCCTAACCCTGGTCCTCATAGTGTTCACACCAAATTCTGACCATTCACATGTGGAAGCAGACAACTTGTGACTATTTGAGTTATCGTTGCTTCCTATCATCTTGAAGCAGTCTGCCCATTCTCCCTTGACCTCTGGCATCAACAAGTTATTTTTCCCAGAGAACTGATGGATATCTTCTCATTTCTGGACAGTTCGCTGTGAACTCTAGAGATGGTTGTGTGGGAAAATCTCAGTAGATCGGCAGTTTCTGAAATACTCAGACCAGCTCATATGGCACCAATAACCATGTCACGTTCAAAGTCACCTTTCTTCCCCGTTCTGTTGCTCAGTTTGAACTTCACCAGGTCGTCTTCACCATGTCTATATGCTCATGTGTGCAGAGTCGCTGCCATGTGATTGGCTATTTAGATATTTGTGTTAAAAAACAAATGAACAGGTGTACCTAACAAGAAGAATTATGAATATTACCTAAATAACTTGTTGCATGGCCATTTTTTTCTTGCACCACCAATAAATATATATTTTTTTTTATTTACAATTTATATTCATCACTTCATTCATTTTTCACAATCTTTGTAATTTGCAGATATACTTCAGTATCTCTAGAGACTCCAGAACACGTAGGGGTACATTCCATTTACTATTTACATTGTTTTCTTTGACACATGTCTTCAAAGGCAGTAAACATTCTAGTTTAAAGGGTGTCAAACACATGAAACCCTCTCTGTCCATTAAAATCTCTTAAAAAAAATTTGTGTTACTAATTGGTTGTTTTCTTGTCACAGGCAGCACCAAGCTGGCATCATTTTGCATAAAATCATCTACAGGTCATCAGACTCTGGCACTGAGATGGGCTCCAGGGTAATAGTGGGTAAAATCAGATGGGTGCCCTCAGATATCCATCCTTGGGCTGTCCTGTTGAAGGTGGGTCTCTTCAACCCCGCATCCTGGAGCTCTGGGTATCTGGGGGGGTTCAGGTCCACTTCAGGTAGTTTAAATGTGATTCCTCTGGAAACTTTCTCAAATCCACCAAATGGAGTGGCAACCCTGTAATTAAGATCAGTTTATGACTGTCAGTCTTTGTTGTGCTCAGCTCTAATTCATTAAAACAGACTCATAGTTTTCTCACCGGTTGAAGCATTTGTATTCAGGAAGCTCTGACCGTGGGTCTGCTGCTGGCATTTTTAGTTTGAGAGTTTCAGCGAGGTCAGGGTCACGGAGCAGGGCCTCCTCCCATGGGGAGTGATATGACTTGTGTGTAGCTGTGGGATTTAACTTCTCAGTAGTCGTTACTGTGAAGGAGGAAACCAGAATCAGTCGAGGGCGATCATAATCTGGGTTATTGTTTGAACAGAATGATCCGTCAGCCTGCTTTGCTTTTACATGTTAACTCTGAGCTGTTTTCTTGAGCCATTATGTTTTAGAGTGGACAGGCTTATGAATAGATACTGCGCTTAGACAACACTTAACACGGGCACACTGAGTTGTCCATCAATATGATCTGAGGCCTTAAAAATAGCACATAGTTGAAGCGTGTGCTCATCATGTAATGTGTCGACATGAGATGATATTGTGCTCAAGGGTTTTTAGAGGAGGCACAGGACTCTGCTGTCAAAATAATACAATTAAATAACGCTTTTAAAGCTGCCAATAATTAATCATAGTTACATTTAGTTCATGGTGTCCTGTTCTGGAAATCGGTTGCCATAAGATAAGACCAGCTGTTATGAATCTATGATAGCAGTTGTTATTATTATGACATCATTACATAATCAGTAGCTTTTATTTGACTGTGCAGTCTTATCGGCTGAATTTCAGACTCATGTGCAGAGGAGCAAATGTAAAACAGAGTAATCCATCTTAAAACTACATCTTTGATTATGATTGTTTTATTTATTTATTTATGTTTGCATTACCATATTTAGATCCTCATTTAATTCACTGTTGGATAAAACAAGAACAGCCTGACTTACTAAGCTGCATAATTACCTGAATCTTTTTTTTCAGCATTAGCAATGTTTCCATTGGCTGGCGGCTCCACTTTTATTTCCACAGAGTGTGTATTCA